AGTATCTGTTCTACATCTGTATACCCCTTTTTATAAGCTGCCAAGCTAGATATTGATGTCATCCATCCTGTGTCTTTTTTTTTTTTTTTAAATCCCCTGAATAACATGTTGAATAACCAGGAGAACAATTCCTTTACCAACTTTTCTTTAACCATTTGCAGACTTAGCACTATATTTTTCTCCCCAAAATTCACTTACATGGCTGACCAGAAACATTTTAACGATTTGTTAAAAAATAATTTCATGTTTAAGGCACCAGAAACTCAGGTGTCATTTACTCTCTGAGTTTAGGGAATGGTAATTGTTTTTTATTCCACTCAATATATCTCTGTCTTGAAGATCTTCAGATTTGTTGATCTTCAGGCATTGAAGGCTCAAAAGTCTTAGTGTTAAGATATGACAGTGCACAAGTTTGTGCTTCATCTTGCCCTTTGCATTTTCAGAGAACATGGAGTCATACACCATCACCATAGATTCTTTATTTATCATAGTTGCCACCTTTAGTCCTGAAGTCAGGTCATGGTTTGAGATCAGTAATGATTTGTATAGAGGGTTTATGTCACTCTGAAAGTCCCAGTGTCTGATGGCAACCCTGTCGGGCTTCTCCCTCTTGGAAAAACTGTTTTCAGAGATTTAGAATTAAGGGGGAGAAAATGGTTTCTCATTTTTGGTGACAGATCTGAATCTGGGGGGTAGAGCCTCTCATGGGAAGACCTGGTTCATAGTCTTGAAACTGTTATTTTGGGCAAGTGGTGGGCTTCGAGACTATATTCTTCTTCATCACTGAAATTGTGTTGCTCTCTTCCACCTTTAAAAGCTATTATGTATCTCTAGCATGCTAATTCCTTTAATTGAGAAATTAATCCACTCCAAGGTGATTATAAGTTCTGATTTTGAATCATCTTGTGGATATAGCCAGAGCTGTTTGATCATCAGACAATGTGGGACAGCATGCTCTGTTTAATGGCCTCAGAAACAGAGGAACTCTGAAATTAGAAGAATTAACGGTACCTGGGTGGCCCACTTGGTTAAGTGTCCTCCTTTTGATCTCAGCTCAGGTTTTGATCTTGAGGTTCTGAGTTCAAGCCCCATGTTGGACTCTGTGCTGGGCATGAAGCCTACTTAAAAAAATTAGTATCACATTCGTGTGTGTGTGTGTATGTGTGTGCGCGCGTGCGTGCGTGCTTTAAATCCATTAAACTCTCACTCAGAATTATTTCCTCCTCATTTGTAGATACTAAAAGTTCTGGGACCCTTTGAATGGAACACATTACTTTGACATGTGAACAGGATGAGTGGACCCCCCCCCACATTGTTCTTGCAAGGTCACAGAGTACCTTATCTATATTTCCAAAAGAAGCATTTACTTCATGAAGTCAAAAGAGATTCAGTGAGTTTAAAAAACCAGGGTGGGTAGTCTGATCTTTACAAATTGAATATGATAGAACTTTATAGAAAAAAAGAGGAATTTTTATTTCCTCAGTTTTATTTCAGATCTACAATTTAAAAATTTTTTTTAAATGTTTGTTTTTGAGAGAGAGAGAGAACAAGCAAGGGAGGGGCAGAGAGAGTGGGGGAGACAGAATCTGAAGCAGGCTCCAGGCTCTCAGCTGTCAGCACAGAGCCCAATGTAGGGCTTGAACTCACGGACCAAGAGACCATGACCCGAGCCAAGGTCTGATACTTAACTGACTGAGCCATCCAGGCGCCCCTCAGATCTACAATTATTTGAAGCCTTGATCACCTATCATTGTCCTAGTTGAGGAACTGATCCATAAACTGTATGTTATGGTGCTGATGTGTGCAAGTCTTGGCCAAAATTGGAGTTCCACAGAATGGGAATGACTTGCTTCCCTTTTTATTCTCCTCTGCCTTAGGATCCTGTCACCACATTGAGAAGATTAGACAAAAACTCTTTGCTGTTTATTTTCTTTTTGAACAAGTCACATTACCGAGGGACTTTTAAGCTACAAGAAGAAAAGCTCCCTCTTTGTTAGAAGCAGGAGTGTGCAGTTTCAACTTGTCTTGGACTTCCTCGGAGATGTTTTAAGATCCGGTGTAAACTTGCTGTGGTTTGCCCTTGGGCATCAAACTGTTTAGCTTGGCTCTGTTATATCTGTAATTGCTGCATTTTAATAATTGCCCAATATTCTTGTCAGCAATTTGCAGTCTAAATTTTTAATAGAACCTTTTGCCTTTCTTTTCCCCAGGTTCATTCAGCCCTGGTTTAAGCCCCTGGATTAATTCTCACAGTCCCACGGACCCTCTGCAGCTGTGGATAGGGGGTGACACACGCTCATTAAATATTCCCACAAGCCTTGTGCTGGTTATAGTTTATGTGCTCCGTAAAAACCCTCTGGGAAGCCATCTTCTTTGGAGATCTCCTTAAAGGGTTTTGCTTCATAAAAGTTACACTTAGCATTTGCTCAAATAGCGTATTCTTCCTGAGAGGATTTTCTTTATTAATCCATTTAGCAAATTTAATTTTTTTGAAGGGAAAAAATAGGGACAAATTCTCTTTGTAGTCATTGACTTTTGAAGTACACGGAGGAGACTTGCATTTCATCTGAGGTGATGTGGAATTACAGTCACAGCAATGTTGGACTTCAGGGGATGATTGAAGTCCATTTCATGGCTTCCAGAATTATCTAATTTAGTCAGTTTTGAGACAGACCATTGCATCACTAATGACTTGTGCCCCTACTTGACTGGCAAGTTTGTTATTTTAGTGATTCTACTCTTTAGCTTCTCTTCTTTTTCTGTCTGTTAAAATGTTCATTTTTCAGTAAACAAAAGATTGAACTGGGTTTACAGTAGCTAAAGATTACATTGATATCCATACCTGAATTTCTCCATTGTACTGAAGTATAAATATACCTCAAAAGGAATGCATGGGTAGCATTTATTGATTGCTTATTATGTGCTCTGCACTGTTCTAAGCTTTACACACACATACACTAATATAATCCTCACAGTAGCCCATATGATGGGTTTATTCATGCAGAATAATCTGCCCAACATAACCCATTTGGTAAGTGACAGTAAATTCATACCTAGGCAGGCTTTTAACTGTTATCATAATCCATATTCTATTCATACTGGGTTTTTAATCACTGTCTTTTTTTTTTTTTTTAAGTTTATTCATTTGTATTTGGGAGAGAAAGCACAAGAAGGGGAGGAGCAGAGAGAAAGGCAAAGAGAGAGAATCCCAAGCAGGCTCCAAACTGTGAGCCCAGAGCTCAATTTTGAGGCTTCCTCTTAACCAGGAGATCATGACCTGAGCCAGAATCAAGAGTTGGATGCTTAACCAACTGAGCCACCCAGGCGCCTCTTTTTAATCACTATGTTACATCAAAGTTGAACAACAGTACCTCCTGCATATATAATAATTTAGTTTTAAGTCATATATAAATAATTCTTTTTGATATTAGGACTTTATTGCTACTATTTTTGGATAGGTAATACTTGCAAAACCCCAATGGTACAAAACTTATATGAGAAAAAAAAAATTCTCCTGTACTCTCTCACCCCTCTCCCCCAATCATCCTCTTTCCCTCCTTCTCACAGGCAATTAGTTTGCTACTGAAAAGAGCTATTTTAAATGTCTTTCCTTGAACACTTGATGCTGTGAACTAAGATCACTTAATTAGAAACTCATTTTGCCATTGTCTTTTTATATTTTTGCACTGTATCTACAAGTCCCCAAACTGGCTTTGTCTCTGAAGGTAGCAAACTGGTTCTGTAGATAGTTATTTCCGGGGTGACGGTAACAAGGCTGCAGTCCCCAGCTATTCAAACTGGTTCCTGAAAACTCCACGATATTGCCTTGCTTAGCACCTAGATCAGGCAGGGTCTTTGTTCTTCTAGCAAGTTGTTGGAAAGCTTTTATTCCCGATAAGAAGGAATCAGGCCCTTACAAAGTGCCTGGAACATAGTAGGTGCTCAATAAATGCTTGTTGAATTGAACACCTTCTGTGGGTTGTGCCAGGCTCAAGGATACAGGGCTGGAGAATATATTTGGTGTTTCTAAATGAGGTAATCTTTAGGGCCATAGGAGATGTATTCAAATTAAACAAACCACCATAAAACTTGTTATTCAAGCTTTGGTTAGCATAAGATTAGAAGGGGCTCTGGATCCTGTGCTCTAGTAACCAGAGAGACAGGGAAAGACATTTCTCCCATTAAAATATTGTCAGTTGACATGAGAATTTCTCCTTTTGATGGTTCTTTTTTTTCTTCAGATTTGTTCTAAATGTGTCTTAATTTGATACTTGTAATGACTCTGTCATTATAACATTAGATTGAGTCTCTGATCAGAGTTATTTGTGTTTCCTTGTTGACACTAGGAAATTCATATATCGTGTCATTGATTACTTTAGTGCCACAACATAACCAGTAATGTTCTATTGTAGGTGCACCTTGATTTTCTTCTGTACTCTTGACAATTTTATATAAAATCAAAGATTTAAAGTGTCTGGGGCACCTGGCCAGCCCAGTCAGTAGAGCATACAACTCTTGATCTCGGGGTTGCAGGTTTTAGCCCCACATTGGGTGGAGAGATTATTTTTTAAAAAGTGTCAAAAATAAGCATTTCTTTATAAAAATATTTGCTTTAAAAATCTGTATTAGGTAATTAGCACCCCCACTTCAGCTTCCTGGAGTGCTGTCTAGGCATCTTTTAAGATAAATCTATTTTACACTCTTTATAAGTTCATTTTTTTAATGTTTATTTATTGAGTTTGAGAAAGAGAATGAGAGAGAGCATGCATGTGCCCAGGAGGGGCAGAGAGAGAGAGAGAGAGAGAGAGAGAATCCCAGTTGATGTAGGGCTTCATCCCTCGAACCATGAGATCATTGCCTGAGCTGAAATCAAGAGTTGGACGCTCAACTGACAGAGCCACTGAGGCACTCTTAAAAATTTTTCCTGTCACTTTAATGTGTGTTTTTGGAAAGATGTTTCTGCATTAAATTTTCTTCTTGGAATATGTTTATTTTTACAGGCATTTTGAAAATTGGAAAGAAGGATTTTTAAGGCCACTTTGGATTTGCAAAGACTACCTACGATCTGAAGAACTGTTGGCTGAGGGTGACTAAATGGGGCACACTTTTGGAGAAATCAAAATGGCTTGTTACTCTGTGATTGCCATGTTTGCCCTGATGAGTTCCTGTGTAGCCACTGTAGGTGAGTTGCATAATACAGGTTGCAGGCTCATTATATTCTTTTGGATTTATTTTTCCTCATTCTCTTCAGTTTGGAAAAAATTTAGGAAATGTGATGTTTATGCAAAACGTATTTATGTTCTTCAAGGAAATAAAATATTTGACTATAGATTACATAGTATGTTTGCCCATGTTACATTTTACTAGACTGGTGCTAGACATTCTCATGACGTAGGTACCTAACTAAAGATCATTGGTGAGACGGCTAAAGAACAAATATGCTGATGTCTAAACCCACTTCATTTTGTTACATGCATAGATTGCATTTCTTTTCTTGTCCTAAATAAAAATTTCAAGAAACCCTTTTTGTTCTTTATCATAAAATAAATAGATCTTGTAGATAGAGGTGACATTCCAGGCATGGATTCTTAGGAGGTATTAATTTTGTCTAGTCAGGTATTTTAATGTGTAACTTTAAGAAAAGTACCAACCTGTGCTTCCTGGAGGCCATCAGAGTATGAGATTGGAGATAAGAAGAAACAAAAGATTTGGTTGGAACATTGTCGCTTCAGCAAGAGCATTAGATCCCTCACATCAACATCTTAGTGTTCCCAGTCAGGGTTATTTAACAAATTGGGAAGCTTAATTTGCCCTATTTTGTGGCAATTTGCTTTGTGTCTGTTCCGTAATGAGCTGCATGAAAGAATTTGTTGGACCAGTTCTGTGAAGTGGCCAGTATCAACAAGAGTGCAATTGAGTTGAAAAATGATTTGCCTCTTGGTTTTGGCTGTTGAATTCACCTACAGATGAGATGATAGTGATCATAATAATTACCATTCACTGAGTGTGCACTATGGCCAGATGCTGGGCTAAACAGTGAGAGGATACAACGGTGAATAAGGGTACTATTTCATGAGGTCACTGAATCACACCTTTGAGGTAGGTAGGCTTATTTTGTCCCATTTTACAGTTGATGAAATGAGGTACGGAGTGATTAGATAATGTGCACAGCATCATGTAGCCGGGAAGCGGAGGAGCCAGGTTTTACATCCGTGCTCTTCTCCTCTGTGCTGTACTGAAGAAGCCAGTATGAAGCTGTTAAGGCTCCATCCAGTAGACTCGCACCAGGAGTCATTTGTAGGCACAGGCTGAGTTTGCAGAACTTGGCTTATGGGATTGCACAGCAGAATGTCCCTCTTGTTGTAAATACCTTGGGAGAAAGTTGCTAGTTTTTTTTTGTTTTGTTTTGTTTTTTTAAATGCGTGTGTGAATTTGAACTGCCCACTGCCTGTCAGCAGTTTCATTTTGTCTCATGATTCAAGAAGTTATTTGTCTTTTAGCCTCTACATTAAAGCTGATCTTAATTAAAATTTAATTGAAAAGTAGTAGGAGAGAGAGAGAGAGAGAGATGGCTTGATTAAGAATGTGCCTTTTTTTAAAGTGATATTTTAATGACAAGAGGTATAATTATGCCTGGTGAGTTTGAAGCAGAGTTTTCTGTTTTCATTGATGCCTGGAACAGACTGAAAAACACAACTGAAGAAGGTACTTCATGGAAAAGTAGTGACTTTGATGACTCTGTATAATCCTGATGTATTAGATAGTGAATCAGTTTTGGTTACGACCTTCCTTTTTCTAGGCCATTGGTAAAATACATTTTTTGAATTGTATACACAGTTAAAATTTTGCTGAGAATTACAGTAAAATTGAAGGTATAGCAGAGTTACCAATTTTGTAGCAACCTGAGGCAAGTGATTACTGGTAGAGGTACAGATGCCTTCCTTTAACGGTAAATTTTTGTTGAAATACAGTTTACATAGAGAAATGTGCACACGAAGTGTGTAGCTCAGTATGTTTTCATAAACTGAGCATAACTATGTGAATAGCATTAGAGATGCCTTTTGAACAACCTATTGGCTAAATGAATAAGGAGGAGGAAATGTTGTGTATATCTGACATCCAGTAAATCACATATTCACTGAGTCCTTCTAAGTGCAAAGCACAGTACTAGTCACTTAGAGTCATACAAAGGAATGTTAAGATTCATCCCTTCCTTTGAATCACTTGTACTTTAGGTATGTAAAATATAACACATAACAAAATAATCCGTATATGGTGAATACCAAATAAAAGCCTCAGAGAGGTCAGAAGGGGAAGCCCTGGTGGATTAGAGCAGCTAGGGAGAGCTTTGTGGATGTGTGGATGTGCTCCATCGTTTGTTTGTTTTTGTTTTTGTTTTTTGAGAGAAAGAGGTAGAGAGCATGCACATGCGTGAACGCATAGGAGAGGGACAGAGAGAATCCTTTTTAAAATTTTTTTTCATTTTTTATTTTTGAGAGAGGGCGCAAGTGGGAGAGGGGTAGAGAGGGGAGGACAGAGGGTCTGAAGCAGTGAGCCCAAAGCAGGGCTGGAACTCAGAGCTATGAAATCCTGGGATCAGGACCTGCTCTGAAGTCGGACACTCAACTGACTGAGTCACTGAGGTGCCCCAAGAGAGAGAATTTTAGGCTGGCTCTGTGCTGGGTATGGAATTTGATCTCATGACCATGAGACCATGACCTGAACCAAATCTGGAGTCAGACGCTTAGGGTCTCCTGGGTGGCTCAGTCGGTTAAGCGTCCAACTCTTGATTTCGGTTCAGATCATGATCTTACAGTTCCTGAGATCGAGCCCTGTGTCAGGTTCTGGGCTGACAATGCGGAACCTGCTTGGGATTCTCTCTCTCTCAAAATAAATAAACACTAAAAAAAAAAAAAAAGAGTTGGACATTTAACTGAATCAGCCAGGTGCCCCGATGTGCTTAATCTTGAACTCTGTTTTGAAGGCCAGTCAGAATCTAGAAGAGCAAAGGCATGGGGTTGACCAGATGGGGGAACCATGCCTAGCATGGCACATGGCACATAAGTACTTGATGTGTTTTTAAAGGGGGGATGACCTGGAGAACTGGTACAGGAACATAGCAGGAGGTCTCTTTGGAAGGAATGATGGGAGTCGATTGTGGAGGGCCTTAAATGTCAGAGTGGGGCTTGTGGTTTTCATTTTGAGGTTTGGATTCTCTCTTTTTCCATTCCCATGTAGCCAAAGATATATACTGTTTAATCTTAGAATTCAAACCGTGGCCTCAGAAAGCAGGGCTGAGAATATGGTTTCATTAGCTTCAACACTGATTAGCATACAGGCCAACAATTTATCAGGGGCTTGCTTTCTGCCAGCTAATTTGTTTTGTCTTTATGGAAAGCCCTATGAAGTGGGTGTTAGTATTACCCTAGTTTGCATTTTATAAACGAGACTCAATTTGGTTAGTAATGGTACAAAGACCCATAACTAATAAGTGACAGTGCTGGGACTTGAACTAAACTCAGGCAGTTTGACTCTAGAATCCAGCCCATCCAATATTCCCCTGGATCCTCTGTGTAGGAGCCACCAATGAGTCATCTTGGGACCAGATTAAACTCCTTTCACCTTAGGGGAGAGAGAGAAATCATCAGAATGGAAGGGCCCTCAAGCATTGGGTCTTTAGTTGCGTTCCTATTTCACTCACATGACTGTGAAGCTCTAGTGTAGGGTTCTTGGTGGTAGAAAGGATAGGTAGCTGGGAGGGCAGAGAACAGCACAACACATACAGTGAACGCAAGTTAGGATAGTAGGCTTGTTCTAACCCCATGGGTTAGGCTGGGCCTTTAGTGAAAGCCTTTCCTTCTCTGCTTGTGGTTGAGGGTAAAGGAGGCAAAAAAAAGGCCAGCAAGCTGCATCCCAGGGTTAGAGGTTGCTTTGACAAAACTTGTATTTTTCCTCCCTTCTTTTTTTCCTGGGTCTCTTATAGCATTGTGGGTAGGGAGGGCCTTGCTCTTGGTGAACAAGAGCTGTGCGAGGACCATCAAGCTTCCTGGTTAGAGATTATCTTAGGTTTTTGGCACCTTGCCTTAGATTCTGCAATCTCTCTAAGAAAAGTGGGAAGTTTAAAACATAAATGCCTGCTCCTGTGGGCTTAAGGCTGTTTCCAGTTTAAAAGTTATTCGGCTATACATCTTTTAAAAAACTAATTTCTGTCTCTGAGGCTTGCCAGAGTTAGTTGGGGCTGTGTTTCCAGGAGCCTTAATAATGAGAAAAAGAGGCACACAGAATTCAGGGAAGTCAGTTTGGTTGGAAGGCATGTGCTTGCCTGCAGTCCACTGGCCCCTTGTGCCAGGTCCAAGGGCACTGCTGGGCTGAGCTCTGCAGATACCTGCTGGCTCAATGCCAGAGGGCTGTGGGTGTGATGGCTGTTTCCTCACTCCATTGTTGCCATTCTGCGCCTAGATGCATCTTTTTGGAAGCTTGCCCATGATCTGCACACACATTTCTATTGAGCAGACATTTCTTTTCATCTCTACTGAGTGTACCTGGAGCTCCAGGTATAGTCCATAGGAAAGTAGAGATGCTTTTAGCTGGAGCTGTTTTCCTGCTACTATATTTTTTCTTTTTGAGAGAGAGAGGTGGAGAGAGAGAGAGAGAGAGAGAGAGAGACAGCCAGCCAGCCAGCAGGGGGAAGGACAGAGAGGAGGGAGAGAGAATTTCAAGCAGGCTCCTCACTGTCAGCTGTAAAGCCCGATGCCGGGCTCGAACTCACAAACCGTGGTACCATGAATGAAGCTGAAACTAAGAGTTGGATGCTTAACCAGCTGAGTCCAGGCGCACCTGAAGCCCCTTTCCTGCTCAGAAAGCTCTGAACTCTTTGTGTCCGTGGGACAGCAAGCAGAGATATCAGCTGGTAATGCTTAGTCTGGAATGGGACCAGCCTGTAGCCTTGTGGGGAGGCTAAACTAATGGTACTGTCATTTTATATTTATAGTTTTCAAATGCTCTTCTACCTACTGTTTCATTTGATTCTCATGGTCCCTGGGGTAGGCGGGTATTGTTTTTTTTTATTTCCAGAATGGGGGTCATGGGACTCAGAGAAAGTAATTTCAAAAGATGGTTCCATTCTTGGTCAGACCAGACACAACACTCTTCAGACAAGCTGCACCCGACAAGTCTTCTGGT